TCAAGTCATTTCCAACTTCTGGCAACCCTATGGTGAAACTATAATGGAGTTTTCTTGGCAAGTTTCATCGCGGGTGGGTGGGTGGTGGCTATTGTTAGCTTGAGGCTGAGAGAGTGTCCCTTGGGTTTCTCTCCTGGAAGTCCTACCCCCAGAAGGCAGAAGTCCTGCCCCCAAGAGTCGTGCCCCCCCAGTACCTGGTGACACCCAGTGTGGGAATGCCATTGAGTTGGGCACTAGGTCTCTAAAAAGCTTCCCCATCACTGTTCTAGGGTATGTTTGGGATTTTTTTTTTTGTTAGCTTTGAGTCTGATATTAGTCTATGCATGTATCTACGCTGCAGAAATAATGCAGTTTAACCCCACTTTAAGTGCTGTAGCTCCATCCTCTGGAATCTTGAGTTTTGTATTTTTAAAGGGTCTTTTGCCTTCTTTGCCAGATTGCTAATGCCTCACTAAACTACAGATCCCAGGATTTTATGGGATGAAGCCATGGCAGTCAAAGTGGTGTCAAACTGCATTACTGCTACAGTGTAGAAACTCCTTATGCTATTTGTTTAGTGTACTGTTTTGAATTTACTTTTTCTCTTGCGTCTATTTGCATAGTGCATGTCAATTATATACATACAAAGTTAGTCTTAGTGCATAAGAAGCATATTGAAAGTACCACACATTCTTCTAACTTTAAAGGCTGATAGAACAAAACTTTCTAGTTATCTGTGTGATATTTGGCAAAGATAAACCCATCTGAAGGGGCTGCCACACCATGTGCTTTTATGAAAAACTAGTGTTATAGTTGCTTTGATTTTTCAGTGCAAGTCAGGTGTGGGCATGAAGATGCTGATTTCTGAATTTCAATTTGAATTCTGGTCCGAATTATGTCAGATTAGATCTGCTCAGTCTGAATCATCAAATTGGGCTCTGAACTGAGTTACAAAGGAGGCTTGTTCATTCTCTACCATTTATACCACATCATTCAAATTATTATTTGCTAGTCTACGCAAACATTCACATGGTTGTCGATTAGCCCTCAGAAAATACCAGCTGCTTTGCCACACAAACCTGATAAAATGGGGACTGAAATGTAAGCAAGTATTGGGGAATATACACCTGAATATTTACCAGCCTGTTTTCCTGCCATCTCGCCTTCATTCCAGTAGATCAGACAACCTACCAAAAAGTTAAAATGAGACATCAATAAGACCCAGTCTGTTAAATGAAAAGCATGTGCATATATATCTATATATATACATATATACATGCACATACATATATACATACATACATACAGTCAGCCCTCCAGATTTGCTGGAGTTAGAGACACAGGGCCCCCACAAAGTGGAAAAAACATGAATAACTCTTAGAGCCCCCAAACCATAGTTAACATGCACAAAATGTATTACAGTTTAAACCCACCATGGATGCCATGGGTTCCTTCGCAAGGCAGAAATAAGGATCCGGTGGGACTTGCCACCACCTTCTCTGCTGCCCTATGCCATTTTTAATAGGGACTTACAAGCCTCTCAGTCTCATGATGCTTCCAGTCCCTATTAAAAATGCCATAGGGCAGCAGCAGAGGTGGCAGCAAATAATCCATGACTAATAAATCTGCAAATGTCGAACCCACAGATGTGGTGGGCCAACTGTATCTTTCTATCCTATCTGTCTGTCTATCTGTCTGTCTATCTATGGGGTTTTTAAAGAGTTTGAGAAAAAAATATTCTCTATAGCAGGGGTGGGCAACTGTGAAATATTGGTCCATTAGCTCTCCAGAATAACTTGGAGGGTGACATTTCTCTGTACAGAAAAAAAAATAAAATCTTACCAGGAAAACCCTGTGATAGGTTGCCTTAGGTTCACCATAAGTAAAAAATGACTTGAAAGCACAGAACAACAAATTTGTAATCTACAGTCAACTCAAATTTAGGTAAGCATAATGGGGGTTGGTGGGGGAGAATAGGTGATTGGCTCCACCCTGAGCCACCATTTTCCATCTTGTCTATCCATTCAGTGAACTACCATTTTTGCCATCTGTCTCTCATTATTAGATATCAGGGTTCTAGTGAAAACAACTTAGATCCTACACAGAGCTTGAAAATAACATATTAAAAGTAATGGTACATTATGTTAATTTTCCGAGTAACAAAAATTGTTCCTTTTTCTGTATGTTATCATTAACAATTAAACATTTCATTTTCTGCATGAGAAGCAATGTTTAATTGTTATGTACAAATATTACTCTTCTGGACATGTTGAGTCTTTTTAAAAACTACTTCTAGCTTGCAAATATATATATATATATATATATATATGACAAAGTTGGACAGTTTTGGGTCTGGGGTTCAAAGTATCCTCCCAGAACCCAACAGGGGCTGCAACCAGTTTGCCCACCCTATTTGTTAAAGCTAACCTTTTGTTTCCTTTTTCATCCCAGGTGTGAGCATTTCTGCACAGCATTTCTGCAAAGCTAACAGAATTCCAGGAAGTCCTCCAGAAGTATTAGTAGGTTTGTAAGTAAAGTTTATGAATTGTCCACACACTGTTTCTCTGGTGGAAGTCCCTGGACTACTGTTCATCCTGAAAGGAATCCCATGTCCCATGCTAAATAATAATTATTTTTTAATAGATAGCAATAGCAAGTACATTTCTATACCTCTTATCTGAATGAGGATTCTGAATGAGACAATATACCTTTTGGTGCCATACACTTGAAGGAGCAACATCATGGGCAGGTTCAGAGCATTTGTTTTTTTAGGGATAGGGTGGTAGTGGAGAATAGCACTTAAGCACTCCCCAAGTGGTTTACAAAGTGTAAACTAATTGCCCCCAACAAGCTGGGTGCTCATTTTAGCAACCTCAGAAGGATGCAAGCCTGAGTCGAGCCTGAGCCCCTGGCTGGTATTGAACTCACAACCTTGTTGTTCATGAGTGAGTGGCTGAAGTACAGGCATTTAACCACTGCGCCACCAGGGAATCATTACCAGATTCCATGGTAGTGATGATTTTTCAGAAATGAAATCAATTTGAAGAAATAAATTTAAAAACAAAACCACTCCCTAAGTATACTACCACCTCATTACTCCAGAGTTTCAAGTAAGAAGAATGATTGATACTGTATATCACTTGTGACATTTAAGAAGCAAAAAGTACCACATTCAAAATCTAAATAATGTTTCCAGTCTTTGATCTGAAAGTCTGAAGTGTGCCCACACCTGCTATAAACTGTCGTGGTTTAGTACCTTATATGACTAATTATATAACTTCAGCAGCCAACTTCTGTCTCAGTTGTAGTAAAGCTTTATGGAAATACAATGGAAGATTCCATGACAGTTGACAAGACGGAGAAGGTTTGAGAAGATAAGAACAACGGAGAAACAACACAGCTGAAGAGAGGAGGACTATTTCAAAATACCATGTTGCTGTTCCTTCTGGTGACTGGTACAGTTTCAGAATAATAAATCATGAATTTTGGATCTCAGTTCTGGCTGGTTGTAACCCAAATAGCTGACCAAAACATCAGTCCTGCAGGCATTTCATTGGTGAAACAGCAGAAGATGAAACAACATAAGAATGGTAGAAGTAATTATCAAAAGTGAAAGCATCTTAGTACTGATTTCCATTATCAACTTTAAGATTATATTATTGGATTACTAACTGACACAATTGCCTACTATTTATCCATGTTATCTTTATTAAGTATGTATTAGTGTGTTGAGTAACCTGTTAGGTAATACATCTGACATTTGTTAACCAACTAGGATTGTTGTTAAAAACAGTTCCTTAATACCACACATTCCAGGCTTTTAAAATTATATTTCTATCTTACCTAAACAATACTGCCTGTTTCCTGAGCAAAAAGCTAAAGCCACAGTCCTGAACAGATTTATTTGGAAGTCCCATTGAATAAAATCTAGGCTCTCTCCACAGGTTAGTTAACAGAGCCTTTCTCTGATCCTGGCAGAGTTTTCAAGCATTTGATTAAGCGGGCTCTGGACAACTAAAGCTTGTGCTACAGTATGTTTATTGGTTTTAAATCTGACATGGACCTAATTTTTACAGGACTAATTTTACTGGGTTCATTTACATTTCTGGAATTTGTCCTGATGCAACTTCCAAGAATCTCAGTTTACTAATATAATCATAAAGTGTATGCTGAATTAGGGAAAGTAGCTCAGGGGCAGGGTGACATGCTTTTGAGTCAGAAGAGAGAGGACAGTTAAGTTTCCATATAGAGATGTGAGTCAGAAGTTCAAAATAAAATGAGCTGTTAGAGTGGCCATTTCTGATATGAAAGTTTTCCATTATGCTTTGGGCAATGAGAAGTATGGTGATAATTTAATGAGACTATAGTGTTCAGAGAGCCAATGTGGCATAGTGCTTTGAGCGTTGGACCAAGACTTTGGAGACCAGGGTTCGAATCCCAGCTCGGCCATGGAAACCCATTGGGTGACCTTGAGCAAGTCACACTCTCTCAGCCTCAGGATGGCAATGGCAAACCCATTTGAAGAAACTTGCCAAGAAAACCCCATTATAAGTTTGCTTTAGTCAGAAATGGCTTGACTACGTGTTCTGATATCAAAGTATTCTTGTTCCCTTTGTGGCCAGAGGAGTGAAGACCATTCAGATTTAGTGACTATAGAACACCTTCAGAAAGCTTCTTTGCAATAGGGTCTGAACTCAGAGAGGGAAGACTTGCTGAATTTTAGTTTTTACTTGGCCTGTTAGGTCTCCTCTCCTGTAAAAGAAACCATACCTGGCCAGTTCCCATAAGGGTAGCTGTGCCACCTCCCCTCCGCCTGCTAAAGCCACCACCAGATGGTGAAACATGGGGAATGGAAATTTCTGGCAGGAACTTCCTTGTTCAAACTTGCTAAGATTGCTTTGGGGTAAAGTGAAAGAGCAGCCTGGGAGTCTGCACATTTGTTTCATCCTTCCAGAGGGACATTCCTTAGCAAACAACTCATGCCTTCAGAAGAGGATGGTTTTGCATACAGAGGGAGAGAGACTAACTAGTCCACAATAATAAAATTCAACAAAGTTTGCTTAAGTAAAGGTTCAGCTTTGCTTCCATGTAGTTTGTTCTTTGCCCTAGAAAGATATGCCTTATTGAAAGTGTTCGGTTTTGCAACATTTGATCTTGCAGTGGTGGAAGTGATAGCAAAACTTTAGGAGATAATTGAGGATTAGTTTTTGTCGGACATTTGCCAAAGGACTGAGTCTTATCTTTTGAAGCAAGGATTGACAGAAGGTAGGGTGGGACTAAATGGTAGGTCCCTGGGTGATTTTGTAGTAAAACAGTAAAGATTCATGTTGCCAAACTGCTATAGCAATCACAGCGCCAAACTAATTTTCCTTGTCCTAAATTATACAGCTAAAATGCAAAGCGGAGCAGTAATAGACAGGGAGCCTTGGAGATGTCTCATCGATGACTTGAGGGCAGTTAACAACAAAAATGAAGAAAGGTGGTCAGACCAAAATGGAGGATAACTAGAAGACAGTTATGTGTTTGGTAAGAAAGGACTGACTTCTGTTCAGTTCTAGAACTCAGACCTAATTCTTGGGCTCAGAAGATTTTAATTCTAAATTCAGCTTGTAAAATATCAGGTCACATTTGTAGAGCTTGGGCTTCTAGTAAAAAAACCAAGTTAGATCCTGGAAGACTGATGTCTGTCCTCTGCTGCTTTGGAGCAAAAATGTGTGTGGGGGGGATGCCCCTAAAGTGTGTGCGCAAAAGGATAGGCTCCTAGCTGCTGTGCACCTTGCACCTTTTCCTTCCTTCCTTCTGTTCTCACTCTACCTGAGTCTCTAATATCTTGGTTAGCAGATGCTCCTGTTTCTGTCTCCTCAGACACCTTCAAATGGTAGCGTAGGAGGAGGAAAAGTAAGAACCAAAGGGATTGATAGGTACACAAGGCAGGTGGCTAAAGGAAAGAGAAAATTAACCGCAGCCTTTCAGGCAAGTTGCTTTTTTTCTACTTCAGACATGTTGATTGCATTACAAGTTTCTACATACTGTCGTTCTACTAGAAAACAGTGCTTAGGGCAACTTACAGGAGGGGAGGGATAACCACACACTGCACTGCTGCTATTCCAGGATTTTATCTGCCCAGTGGCTCTGAGGACACATTCTAGAAACTAGTTATTTCACTATCGCAGTTTTGTTGAAGCTGATCATGCAGTGTTGCACTTCTTAGCTTGGGGGTCAGTTGCTCTGTATGCGGGCTATTTAACTGTTTGAGACAGAAGAGCAGCAGATGATTGATAGGTTCTCCCCCTCCCTCCAGTGCTTTTGATGTTTGTTTAGATTAAATGCTTAAAAAGAAATGGACTGTGATGTGGTGCAGAAAACATTCAGGGGTAGGAAATTCAAACAAAAATCCATCAGTGATACCTTTATTGGCCAACCAAAATGAACCAATATGTTTGTTGCAAGCTTTTGAAGCTCCATGCCAAGCAGGGGTAGGCAACCTTTCCCCTTTAAAGGCCGAGGGATTTCAGC